TACCAGTTTTTTCATTGAACTTGGTAGTGAGGTGGCTAAATCCTCACCCTACATCACACTTTGAAGAGAAGCCTCAATCAATATTCACCTACTTTTAAAAAGAGGCGCCATTTTCAAGATGTGATGTAGGGGATGATTTGGCCACCTCACTACCAAGTTCAATGCAAGAACTTGGTACCAAGTTTTCTCCATATTCTCATATATATATGAGAATATGGAGAAACTTGGTACCAAGTTTTCCATTGAACTTGGTAGTGAGGTGGCTAAATCCCCACCCTACATCACACCTTGAAGAGAAAGCCTCAATCACTATTCACCTACTTTTAAAAAGAGACTCCATTTTCAAGGTGTGATGTAGGGGGATGATTTGGCGCACCTCACTACCAAGTTCAATGCAAGAACTTGGTACCAAGTTTCTCCATATTTCTCTCTCTCTCTCTCTCTCTCTCTATATATATATATATATATATATATATATGAGAAAAATGGGTATGCTTGGTACCAAGCACAAATTTTGTGCTGGTAGTGATGTGTCACATTCCCCTCCACTCACTACCCATGTGAATGTGGTCCCATATTTTAATGAGTGGAGGGGAATGTGACACATCACTACCAAGCATAACTTTTTGTGCTTGGTACCAAGCATACCCATATTGGCTCTCTCTCTCTCTCTCTCTCTCTCTCTCTCTATATATATATATATATATATATATATATATATATATATATATATATATATATTATATATATATATAAAATATATATATATATATATATATGGACACACACACAGGTACATACATGCATGCATCCATACATACATATATGGAAAAGTGTTCATTTTATTTTATTTTTTCGAAGAGACACGCTATGATTGAAAAATGTGAACGCCAAATACTTTCTGGCAGTTTTGCGCCAAAAACTACAAAACAAAGCAGTAAAGTATAAGAAAAATGATGAGTTCGGCACTAGCTCAACGTTTCAAAAATAATCTCTGCTAAGTGGTCAAATTTATGTTATCTGTGCAGCGTTGAATTTGAATAGAAATGAACGGAGATATATAAATATGCCAATTCAGGAAATTAATACAGCATTCAAATCCTAGCCTTCATGCTCACAGAATTTTTCTCATAAAAAATTATGTGGAACATGTTGATCTAAATTAGGTGGACAAATTTTCAAAACCGTCTCATATGGACATTTAATCCAAAACAGACCCCTTTCACGGGATTCAACTTCGTGGAAGTTTCATAGTTCAAAAAAAAAATTAAACTGTGAAACTTCACGGAGTTCAAACTCCTAAACTGTGAAACTTCACGGGAGTTCAACTCCTGTGAAGTTTCAGAAGTTTTTTCACGAAAACCGACATGGTTTTCAGCGCCAAGGCTGAAACTAGGTCGGTTTTTGAAAATATTAGAAATGAGTCTTTTTGGGATTAAATGTGGAAAGCGGTCGTTTTTGAAAATTTGTCCTTATATAGGTAGGTTGGTTGGCTAGCTACAATGATTAGTGAGGTGGGGAAGTCAAACATGAGGCTCTAGTCTGCAAGATATTATCAGTTTACCAACTCGGGCTCGCTAACCCTCTTCTTGGTAGATGTTTTCTACTTCACTAGTGATAAATCTAATACCTGTCATAATTTTTTGGACTTTAGGGGGTGTTTTGTTTCACCAAAAAAAATTAGCATTTTGTATGGATTACAAGTTTTGAGATCAAAAAAAAAGTTTTTTTTTTTTTTGTATTTTGGGATTCCATATATGATGTTTGTTTTAAGAAAATTTTTAGAACATTGAATCCCAAAAGTACAAAAAGTGCCTAATTTTTAGAATTTGCTAAATCCTCTCAATTGGAGAGGATTTTGATAAATCCATAAATGGGTGTGCTTACCTCTCAATTGAAGAGGATTTTGACAAATTCGCAATTTTATCTTTTTGTGGGAGGTAACCTCACCAAGATAGCATATTCATCATTTTACAAAAAATTTGCTTGGTAATGCTACAATTTGAGCTTGAAACAACAAAATATTACAAATTGTAGTATTTCAAATTCTAAAATATTAATGAAACAAACAACATTTTAGAAATCCCAACCCATAACAAAACATCTATGGATTTCAAATCACATGGTGAAATTCATACCCTAAAATATATAGATTTGAACAAACACCCCTAACCGTTCAATTTTTTTGAGATATATATGTACCTCACACCCTAAAAATGCAATCATGGTGTATGTTTAGTTAGTTAGTTCCATAGATTTATTTATCCTAAGCCCACTTACAAAATGAAAAGTAGAATTATATCTATATCTATACTATTATATAATGATTCAACGTGAGGGCAATGCTGGGGGCGGTCTTCGACGGAGACGACGAAGACGAAGACAAAGTCGACGAAGACATTCAAAAGGGTTGTTGCGGCGACGGTCTTGAGAGGAAGTGAGTTTCGAAAATAATAAAATTGGTTGCAGACGGATGAGGTGGTTTCGAAAATCGCGCTCGGAAAAGGATTGTGGGAGTAGTATTTTTTAGTTTTAATTGGGAAGGCGCTAATTTGGCGAATGCCTTTATCAGGTAGTGGGATGTACACAGTTTGGGGGTTAGTTGCACTTATGTTCTTATATAAGGCTTGGGAGTATTGGTTTTTACGCTCGGGAGGAGGATGCATAGCCCAAGTTTTTTTAGTTCGCTCCAAACAATTTTCTCTAAAAAAAAAAGAAAGAAAGAAAGAAAAAGAGAACCAGGAGGAGTGGTGGACATGCCCTCTTTCCAACTATGGTTGAAAGGATGAAAATGTAATTTAACAAAAGAGATTTTGTCCCTCGTTGTTTCTAGAACTCTTTATCCATATTTTAACATAAACAAATATAAAGTCTATACAATTGAATATATATAATATATATATATATAATATATATATATATATATATATATATGGGTATGCTTGGTACCGAAGCATAATTTTGTGCTTGATAGTGAGGTGGCACAATCCCCTCCACTCCTTCAAATGGGGATCACGTTCACATGTGTTGAGGAGTGCATGTGGGTATGCAACCATTTGAATGAGTGGAGGAGATTATGCTACTCACTACCAAGCATAACTTTTTGTGCTTGGTACCAAAGCATACCCATTTTTCTCATATGAGGCTCCATTTTCAAGTGTGATGTTAGGGGGATGATTTGGCCACCTCACTATCAAGTTCAATGCAAGAACTTGGTACCAAGTTTCTCCATATTTCTCATATATATATGAGAAATATGGAGAAACTTGGTACCAAGTTTTTCCATTGAACTTGGTAGTGAGGTGGCTAAATCCCCACCCTACATCACACCTTGAAGAGAAAACCTCAATCACTATTCACACTACTTTTAAAAAGAGGCTCCATTTTCAAGGTGTGATGTAGGGGGGTGATTTGGTCACCTCACTACCAAGTTCAATGCAAGAACTTTGGTACCAAGTTTCTCCATATTTCTCATATGTATATGAGAAATATTGGAGAAACTTGGTACCAGTTTTTTCATTGAACTTGGTAGTGAGGTGGCTAAATCCTCACCCTACATCACACTTTGAAGAGAAGCCTCAATCAATATTCACCTACTTTTAAAAAGAGGCGCCATTTTCAAGATGTGATGTAGGGGATGATTTGCCACCTCACTACCAAGTTCAATGCAAGAACTTGGTACCAAGTTTTCTCCATATTTCTCATATATATATGAGAAATATGCGAGAACTTGGTACCAAGTTTTCCATGACTTGGTAGTGAGGTGGCTAAATCCCCACCCTACATCACACCTTGAAGAGAAAGCCTCAATCACTATTCACCTACTTTAAAAAGAGACTCCATTTTCAAGGTGTGATGTAGGGGGATGATTTGGCCACCTCACTACCAAGTTCAAATGCAAGAACTTGTACCAAGTTTCTCCATATTTCTCTCTCTCTCTCTCTCTCTCTCTATATATATATAATATAATATATATATATATGAGAAAATGGGTATGCTTGGTACCAAGCACAAATTTTGTGCTGGTAGTGATGTGTCACATTCCCCTCACTCACTACCCATGTGAATGTGGTCCCATATTTTAATGAGTGGAGGGGAATGTGACACATCACTACCAAGCATAACTTTTTGTGCTTGGTACCAAGCATACCCATATTGCGCTCTCTCTCTCTCTCTCTCTCTCTCTCTCTCTATATATATATATATATATATATATATATATATATATATATATATATATATATATATATATATATATAATAATATATATATTATATATATATATGGACACACACACAGGTACATACATGCATGCATCCATACATACATATATGGAAAAGTGTTCATTGTTAATAAGTTGTCACATTAGATTCAATATAGGATATCACATTCAAACTACATTTTATGCTATCAAACTACTAGATCCACTCTATTCATTTTGATTTATATGCTTTGGATTATATACAAAAAAAAAACACCATATTGGGTTGTAGTTCCTCACGCATCAAGTGATTGTAAGCTTTCGGTTTTACGACAATATAATTAAAGAAAGAATGAAAAATATATATTAGAAGTATTTAATCATCATCATTTTTGTTTTATAGATGTTTTGAGACATTTAGATCACGATAAATAGAGCAAATCATCGAATGGAATAGTCTAATTCATGAAAACTAAGAGGCATTTTTTAGACTAAATTCAAGCCGCCACTTATGAACACCCTTCCCCCCCCCCCCCCCCCCCCCACACCACACACAACACACACAATACACACACATAGCATCTATTAAGGTAGAAACTTTACTCTTTTCATTGAATTAATTTCCACAAATAAACTTATAAAATTTTAAGTAGTAATTTCCTTTGAGCTACACACAAAAGAACGCCGTTATGAATATTGAATTAGTTTCGATAAATCGTTGTTTTTTCGGCAGGTGCATAATGCCGTGATGTGGCGCTGAATTGGTTTCCAAAGAATAAACATAGAAGAGAACTAGATGGGGGAGAAAAGTAACTAATAACTTCGTTTTAACCTCATCATATCAGTCAGTAGAATATACACCAGCAAAAGTTTTAAATCTCAGCAAAGAGCTTTAATAGAGACGGATGCAATACAAGGCTGACCGTCCTGGCTGTGTATGGCCAATATAAGGTCAATACACCCAACAGATGAAGGTTAGCAAGAAAGCAAACAGCATCAGTCTCCAGATTGCTTCAGAAGTGGAGAATTCATTGGAAAAATCACTTGCTTGTTCATTCTGGGTCAGGAGAACCACCAGGGACCAACTGCAGGGGCACAAACAGTTCATGAATTTAAGAGCGGTGAAAACACATGGAAAACTTTTTACGGTTAGATTTTGTCAGGCAATAGGTAGAAGTATGATTCTGGAGTCGGATCAGTCTATCACCGTCATCAACGGCATAATACAAATGGAGACCACATGCCAAATGTTTCGACGATTTACTGAATAGGAAGTAGATATGAAAGGATATATACAGCTCGAATGAGAGCTTGCTTGGATAAATTGTTTAGAAATATCCAACATTCTGATTTTTCATTGGGTTAATATAGCGCACCCTCTTTGCTATCGCACAATTGCGGATAGACCCCTTGTAGTTAACCTGTGTGAACTTTCTTTTGACTCTCGGAAGAGTAAAAAAGAATTCATTCGCGCTTTTTTCAATTCACAATTACGTGATAGTACAGGGGGTGTATCCGCAATTGGGCAATAGTACATGGAAAATCTTTCACCCACTTGCTGAACAGCAGCTTACGTCGATGAATCAGTATGTTAACGAGTAGATATTGACAAGTGAGGGGTCGAAATATTACTCAATACATACACAGGCAGAAAGAATCAAGATAAAGCCGAATCAGCTCATCATTGTATGCGCAGAAGATATTCAGACCAGAAATCAAATATTTTGACAATTTATTGTATAGAAATTAAGGTTTGAAAAGAAATCAAGTGGATAAATGGCTTGGGAATGTCCAAAATTTCTGACTATGATTTGCTGCATTTAAGATGTGGAGCTCAGGAGAACACAACCTAGATTGTTATTTCATATGAACATTACAAGTCACCATCCTGTATGCATTATCTGAATTTTGATTTTTTCTGCCTTTCGGGCATTATATTTGAGAGTCGAATGACTCGATCTATATCTCAAAAGCACTGCTATTTGGATGACATATTGTTTGTTATTAGTTAATCTAGGCAAATTTTCATGTATTGTACTTTTGAACTGATATATGAAATTTTGGATTCAAATCTTCATTATCACCTTTACTTATATTATGGTTTATGCACTGTCAATGTGTTATTGTGCACTGTAATTATAATAAGGGCTCTGTCAATGTGTAATTGTGCACTGCAATTATGAAAAGGACTAAAAGGACGTTGTGGTTGAAGAACAATACAGTAATAAATATTCTTGTCAGTGTCAAATAGAAGGAGGGGGCCTTTAAAATAGACTACAGTATATACTTGTCTTTGAGTCCTCATGAATGAGTGGCTGAAGAACACCGTTTTTGTGACAGATGTAAATAAGAAAACTAGAAATATGATCTCCAAAGTTAGGTTTCCCAAAGCAACCGAAAATTGCATTCAAAAAAAAAAAAAACATGTGTGCATGCACGTATGTGGAAAAAAGGATATAAGGTGGCAACTCATGTTATTAAAACTACCAAGAGATAGAGGAATTTAAGGCCCACAAAAACAGTCACATTGGAACATGAGGTGCTTGTCACTCCTATCTCTTGGCAGCTTGCCTAATGAGGTGCCAACTTATACCCAGATTAATCTCATCATTGTACCGAGTGCAAGCATAACAAACAGAAGCTCATTGAATGAATCAAGAACATATATAAAAGTAAAGAAACCGATGGGTATCAAACTTATAATAAAAAACACATCATTAGTAAAATATTAAGTTGTGTTCGCTTGCTTACGATGGCAATGTTGTTTCCATTCAGCAATATCTGGTCTAACTTGGTGACCCGGCGCCCTTCAGCTGTAATTTCACTAAACCAATAGATAAACATTTTCTTAGAAATCGAGTTGAAAAAAGAAAACAGAAAAATATATGTTGCTGTGTGGACAGCTCTTCAATTGACTGTGAGAAAAACATTCAGCAGGCATGTTCATAGAAGTAGGAAAGACGGGTTTACCATGAAACCAAACCAATAACCAAATTAACGAGATAACAAATTTCTGGCTTAATAAAGTTCTGCCCAAGAAAGTTCTCAGCAAGCCACCATTTCTACTTCGCTACAAATTTTTGTGTGTAAACCACCTTCTCTACTTCACTACATTTCCGCGCGCGCGCGTGAGCAGAATTCATTTAAAGGAGCTGAGCAGGAACTCTGACGAAGTGCGCTCCAAAGAAAAGAATGTATAAGTATAATAAATTAAGGAAATTTTGAGAAACACTCCCACAATTATTTTTAATTTTGAAATGCTTATATTTAAATATAAACACCAGCAGATCTTATATATTGAAATAACCATCTATTTTGGGCATATAAATACAATTTCGTGGACCTTCCAAGAGGATGTTTCTGATGTGCTAGACGCAAATAATTGTTTGTCTATGCTGAATAACATAGTATAAAAATACAATACATCATGGATACAATCATGGGCTTGGTCTAATGGTCATTACTCATGCTGCTAGACTATGAGAAGTATGGAGTCAACGGGTTCAGCTAACTATGGATTGTGTGTTCATGGAGTTCTTACAGGAGAAGATGGAGTGTGCACCAGAGTGAACTCATCCCAATTGAATAACACGTAACTACCATTTACCATTCAAATAAGCATCCATTTTGTGCATATAAATACAATTTCCTATACCTTCTAAGAGGAACATTTCTGATTTGTTAGTTGCAGATAGTGGTTTGTCTGTGCTGATTACAATAGCATAAAGATGCAGAACAGGATTAGTATTTTTTACATGGGTACAATCATGGGCTTGGTCTAATGGTCAGTACTAATGCTGCTAGACTACGAGAAGTATGGAGTCTTGGAGTTCAGCTAACTACAGATTGTGAGTATTCGCGGAGTTCTTGTAGGACATGGGGTGTCCATAAGACTGAAATGAATCTATCCCTATTATATCACAAATAACTACCTTTTTACCATGCACTCCCTTGATCATTTCTCTCTCAGGTCAGCTTTTTTCACTTATATTTCCATCAAATTGGCTCAAGTTCATACTTGTTAACAAATCACAGATGTTCCTCTAGCAAATGAAGTTTCTTCAACTCATAGCACAAAAAGAAGCATCAAATCTCCACTCCATCCAATCTGACTAGTCTTGTATGTCTAGTTCTTTTGCCCTTGTCACAAAAAAAGTTCCAACTAAAAGCTTCAGCCCAAAGTCAGGTTTAAAAGACGATGGTCTTAATTCAATACTCGTTAAACTTCTAGGATAGTAAACCTGAATTTTGTCGTACCATTAATCATATCTAGACCACCAATTTCACATCATATAGAAATCTAGTGACCAAAGTATCATACTTAGAAAGGCAAATAGAAGACTCGAGAGAGGCAATCCTATGAGCAAGAAGATGCACAAACACGTAGAGAAGGTAGGAACAAACATACTACATAATCATATACTCTAGTAAATCTACTCAGTTATGCTCAAAGCAACTTCCCAAAAAAAAGGAGGTAAACAAACAAACAACTAAAAAAAACCAAAAAATTCAACTTTATGCAACTATTGGGCTACTTTCTGAAAACATTCTTTGTCGCCTTGCATTATATATGTTTCGATACCGAACCTCACACAAAACTTGGATTCTTTCAGATAACTGATTCACTTTCAATAGAACAAATGCAATTGCATAAATTGTATTGTAGCTGTGCAGACAGATCTTCAATTGATTGGGAGAAAGTTTCAGCCGGCATGTTTATAGAAGAAGGAAATCAACAAAGTCAACTATTTATCAGGAAACCAAATTAATAACCAAATTATAGAGATAGTTTATAGAAGAAGGAAACTCAACAAAGTCAACTATTTATCAGGAAACCAAATTAATAACCAAATTAATAACCAAATTATAGAGATAACAAGTTGCTGATTTATAAAATTATTCTCAAGAACTCAGCAAATGCATCTTTTGTACTTCTCTGTGATTTTGTGTGTGTATATGGGCAGAGCTCATCTAGAGGAGGAACTCTGAGGAAGTGCTCTCCAAAAGAAAACAGTGAATAATGATGATATAGGACAAAATTGAGAAACATCCCATAATTGTTTTTAGTTCTGGAATGTCTATATTCAGATTTAAAGACCAGAAGATCTTCCGTGGAAGTATATTGAATAAGCATCCACTTTGGTGTACCTTCTAAAAGAAATATTTCTGATGTGTTAGATGTTGATAATTGTTTATCATTGTTGAATTACAATAGCAAAAAAATGCATTACAGGATTAGTATTTTTCATGGATACAATCATGTGCTTGGTCTAATGGTCAGAAATGCTGCTAGCCTATAAGAAGCATGGACTCTTGGGGTTCAGCTACCTATGGATTTTGTGTGTTCGTGGAGTTCTTATAAGAGAAGATAGGGTGCACATTAGAGTGAATCCATCCCTACAAAAACACAACTAACTCCATTTTACCATGCAAATAAGCATCCATTTGCGAATATAAATACCTATTATGTACCTTCTAGGAATATCTCTGATATGTTACATGCAGATAATGCTTTGCCTATGCTTTTACAATAGCATAAAATACAGTACAAGATTAGTATTCTTTTTTCGTGGATACAGTCAAAGGCTTGGTCTAATGATCAGTGATAGAACTGGTAGACTATGGAAGTATGAGTATTGGGGTTCAGCTAACTACAGATTGTGTGTTCGCGGAGGTTATGTAGGAGATGTAGAGTGCCTATAAGAGTGAATCTATCCCTATTAAATCACAAGTACATTTGACCCTCCACTCCTTGATCATTTCCCACTCGGGTTAGCTTTTTCCACTTCTATTTTCATCAAATTGTCTCAGGTCCTATCGTCACTAACAAATCTCAGATGTCTCTACTATATGAAATTTCTAACCAAACATAAAATAAAATAACTTAAAAAATCTGACTAGTCTAGCATGTCTAGTTTCTGTGCTATTGTCACCGAAATAGTTCTGATTAGAACCTTCAGTCCAAGGCCAGCTTTTAAAAGTGATGATCTTAACTCTATGCTTGTTAAACTTTTATGACAACAAACCAGGGTTTCATTGCACCATTAATCATATCTAACCCCCCTAATTCACATAATATAAAAATCTAGGTACCAAAGTGTCAAGGAAAGAAGCAACTCAAGGTTTCGATGCTTGCTAACAAATCACAGTTGTGTCTCTACTGGAAAAAAAATTCTGCAACTCATGCCAAGGAAAGAAGCACCTAATCTCCACTCCACCCAATCTGACTACACTTGTATATCTAGGTGTATTGCCCTTGTCACCAAAAAAGTTCCAACCAGAAACCTTAGCCCAAGGTCCGCTTTAAAAGCTGATGGTCTTAATTCGTTACTTGTTAATTATTTAAGACAATAAACTTGAACTTCATTGCACCGTTATCATACCTAACCCCCCTAATTCACATCATATAAAAATCTAGTGATCAAAGTATCAAAATTAGAAAGACAGGCAGAAGATCCAAGAGAGCCAAGACTATGAGCTAGATGTGGTTCATTATTGAATACGATAGATAAGCAAGAAGATGCGTGAACACAAACCATAGTTAGGAACAAACGTACTACATAATAAGGATTCGTATACCCCAGTAAACCAACTCAATTCAATTCTCCGCCAAAAAACCTACCAAAAAATTTCAACTTTTCTGAAATTATTATTGGGCTACTTCCTCATAACATTCAGACTACTGATCAGCTTTCAATAGATCAAATGCAACTGCCCAAATTGGACAGCAGCAATCAAACAATTTCAACAATGAGGTAAAAGCGTAAGAAATTAGCCAGGTATTAGGGTTAGGGTTTCGTACTACTCAGTGACGTCCTCGAGGACCATGTTGACGTAGACGTCGAAGCCCCTTAGGGTTCCGACGAGCTCCTTGTCCCCCTTCATTATCACCCAAATCTTCGATCCAATGCACCGATCGATCAGCTCTAACGAAAACCCCAAAAACAAAAAGATTTTTGTGAACAAGTTGCAAAAAAGGAAAAAGAAAAAAGAAATAGTTGAGGAATGAGAACCTGAAGGAAGAAGTTGTGATGGGTTGTGAGACATGGCTCTCTTCTCTCTCTCTCTCTCTCTCTCACTCCGATTATTTTTGAGGGAAGATCGATTAGGGTTTCGCCGCGAGTAGGAACGAGGGTTTTCTTTTGCTTTTCTTTTCTTTTTTTTCTTTGTTTTTTTTTTTTTTTTGAGAAAGCGAGTAGGGCTTTTTTTTTTTTTTTTTTTTTTTTTTTTTTTTTTTTTTTGAGAAAGCGAGTAGGGTTTTGATCGAGGAGGGAGTGACTGTTTGACCGTGGGTTGGGTTTGTTGACGCTCAACCCGATCCAACCGATACCTGAATTATAAGGGAAAATTGTGTCAACCCCAGAAGCAATATCTTCATATGCTGCGGCTCCTTTATTTTTTTTTCCACGTGGTTTGACCCTAAGAAGTGTCACATCATGTGTTACTGTTCTCTTTTAGTAATTATTACACGTCAACTAAACATAAAGAAAGGATAAAAATAGAAAACCCTAAAATGTCATTACCTCCTCTATTTTTTCATGTTAGGTTTAATGAGAGTTCATGTTAGGTCTAATTTCATGTTAAGTCTAATAATAGTTTGTGTTAGGTCTAATTTTAGTTTATGTTAAGTCTAGTTCATGTTAGGTCTAATTTCAGTTCATGTTAAGTCTAATTTCAGTTCATGTTATGTCTAATAATAGTTTATGTTAAGTCTAATTTCAATTCATGTTACGTCTAATAATAGTTCATGTTAGCTCTAATAATAAGTTCGTGTTAGGTCTAATAATAGTTAATGTTAAGTAAATAAAATATTAAAAAATAGACTTAACATGAAGTAAATTAGACTTAAAAGGAATTTAACATGAAGTAAAATTAGACCTAACATGAACTGCTTAATATGAACTGTAATTAGACGTAAAATAAAATTAGACCTAACATGAGCTATTATTAGACTGAACATGAATTTAGACCTAACATGAACTATTATTAGACCTAACATGAGTTATTATTAGACTCAACATGAACTATTATTAGACATAATATGAACTGAAATTAGACTTAATATGAACTATTATTCGACTTAACATGAACTATTATTAGAGATAAAATACATTATATTAGACTTAACATGAACTAAAATTAGACCTAACATGAATAATTATTAGAGTTCACATGAATTGAAATTAAACCTAACATGAACTATTATTAGACCTAACATGAACTCTCATTAGACCTAACATGAAAGAATAGAAGAGATAAGAGCATTTTAGGGTTTTGTATTTTTATGCTCTCTCTATACTTAGTTGGCTGGTAATAATGGATAAAAGAGGGCTGGAGCACATGATGTGACACTTCTTGGGGCTGAAACATATTTTAAAAAAGTAAAGGGGCTGCAACACATGAAGATATTACTTTTGGGACATTGACACAATTTTCCCGAATCATAGGCCTCCAGGACTGTCGGGGTCGTAGAACATAAGACCCCTTGACTTTATTTATCTCATGTATACCCCTTGAACTATGGCGTGTCTCACAAAGCTTCTCTGAACTTTAGCTTATCTCACTTAACCCTTCTGCCTATAATTTACGAATAACTAAAATTCTCTTGAGAAAAAAAAATTCAAAACTTTAGCGAAAGAAGTATGTTGCCTTATAAATGACATGTGGCAATATTTGAGAAATTTTCACTCAATTTTTTTTTGTTATTTGCAAATTATAAGCAAAAGGGTGTTAGGTGAGATGAGCTAAAATTCAAGGAGGCTTAGTGAGACACCCTATAGTTTAGGAAGAGTATGTGAGACATAAAAAGTTCAGAGGGATTATGTACAACACTCTTAAAGTTCAAGGGGTTTTGTAAAATTAACCATATAATTATCCTGCTGTACATGTTCACTATTGATCTTCTTTTTCCCTGTTTGGATGGAGGGTAGAGAGGGGGAGGGGAAGAGAAATGAAGCTTTCACCTTGTTTGGGAGTTTTTTTAAGGAGGGTAGAGAGGAGGAAGGAAGGGGAAAGGAGAGTTTCCTTTCACCTTCATTCACCTTACTCAACTCCCAAACAACATATTACAATTCTCTTCCCTTCCCTTCCCATTGTTTACCTTTCCTTCCCTTCCGTTAGTAAACTCCCAAACACACCATAAAGAAAATCTCTAAACTTAAAGAAAGTGAGAGAACCTAGAGCAAAACTCCACCAAAACATACTAGCTACAATACGCTATATATCTAAGATAAGTTATTATTTTAGTTTGTGTTTCGAACTTTCACGATTCCACAAAATGCACTTGCACTTTAAATAACTAGTATTGTATCTTCATCGTCTATCTATCTATCTATAAATATATACTAAAACAAATCCCTATAGTTACCGCTTGGTAACTTCTTAGAATTTTAGATATTAAATTTATTTTTTACAATTCAAATAAACAATATGATAATATTTGTACCATAAAAAAATCATCTTTATAGTGTATAAAATATTCACTAAAGAAACTTCCCATTATGTATAACTTCCAAATAATTTAACCCATTAATTAAACTATGTTTTTGTAACCCCCCATTAATTCTCGTACAAACTCATTCAAATTCTAAATTCATAACATCTCTTCCTCTACTACTTCACTTTCGCCATCATCATCTTCATCCTACAATATTTTATACAACCATTAATCTTCAATTCAAGAATAGAAAAAAGAAACAAAAAACAAAACAAACCTTCATTGGATCTTCATGAGCATGGGAAAAAAGATATAATTAATTTCTATTTTTATTTCATTAATAGTATATATGTCATTTTACATTTTATTTCAAATTCTACTCTCATTTGATACAAATAGAGTGATATTATAAAATATATGATTATTTATATAATTACATTTTAGAGGATGACAATTAATATAAATATGTTTAATAAATTACATTTTAGCATTCTATATGCAATATGTTGAATAAAGTTAAATCATAATTCAACAATATGTTTTTAGAAAGTTAAAGCTAACTCAAGTTCTAATAATCAGGGGAAAGCATTTGTAATAAGAGGAATATATCACAAAAATAAAATTGCGTAGTCTTATTTTATAAATAGATATATACTAATTATTTTATTCTCATTATGTATATAGTAAATTTAACAAATTTAAAGCATAATTCAAACACTAATGGCTACAATAAAGGTTTTTTAGTATGATAAAACCATAGAAAAAAGAATTATCGTTGTTGATATCAGTTATCAGACAAAGAGTTTATTTAGGTTTTAGTGTTGGGTTAAGGTCCTCAAGCTTCTTCAAATGTCCAGTTTTGGAGCCTAATGTTCTCTCCTGCACATAAAAAGCTCGTGAGAGGGCAAAGTTAGTGTATGAACTTGAATGAAAAAATAGGAAGTAAGTGAAGAAGAGGAATTCAAAGTTGCATGAAAGAAGAAGAACTCACCCTATGCAATTCATCTTTCTTTATAGTAGATTGGAAGAGCAACAAGGTAGCGTGGGTCAAATCCAGACATGTAGCTGAGTTGACAGATGCCTTATAGGTGTAAACAACTGAAGATGACGAGTCATCCATTCATTCAATGTGAGGAGGACAACAAGCACTTGGAATTGACTGAGTCCAATGAGTCATAAAGACTATGAGGCTAGAGCAATGATGACTTTGTCAGAACAGTTAATGCAAGGGTACGTGGCTATCGAGGGTTTCGAGGGAACTACCACATCTTCAATCGTCTCATTGGAGGCCAACAAACACATACTTTATAGTCGGTTATGCAGTTTGTCTGCTAGAACAACAGACCGAGTGCGAGTGCCTATATGGTCGATCTGGTGGGTAAGCCGACAAGTACCGCCTTTTTAGTCAGCCATGCAAGTTGTCGTCCTGATGGGTCAGTTATAGAAACTGCTCGGGTTGTCTACTCTGATCATATTTGATTAGACAAGGAACGAAAAACGTGTCGGCCCAAGAAAGTAGTTTTCACATTTGGTGATTTCTTATCATAACAATTGCTAACTTTCTAACATATTTATAGTTTAGAATTTATTTATTATTTTAGTAAATAATATATATCTTGAGAAAATTTCCCACATAAACATATATATCTAACACCTATCTACATATTTCCTTGCTATCATGCATCGATGGAATTACATTCCCAATAGCTCTAATCTATGAGTATTTTTGAATAGGAGAATTTTTAAAAATAGGACAGTTTTGATAAATATCTAACAAAATCTATCTTTTTGCTAACTATTTAGCAAAACCAACTACTTTTTTGACTAGCTGAATTGGTAAAAAAGAGGTCGGTTTTGCTAAATTAAGTTTTCAAAATACATGCAAAGTAGTCCCGTGTGTTTAATGGCCAATAATCGCCACTAAATGAGAAGCTCAAAACCCAATGGATTTTCTGAGCAGTTTCTAAATATCCACGACACTAGTAGTCTCATGGGTTGGACATAAACTTTGGCCTCTATCCAGTAAATCCACGAGACTAATTGTCTCATGGATTTGTTGGGCAACCCAAAACCTGCATAAAACATGCACATATCACAATGGATTTATACCATGCGTACATACGATGTATCAGTTGTACAAAAATATTAAATCTGCCTCATATACATTACTAAATAGTATAATCATTATATAAGTTATAAAACTTAAAGAAATAAACATAAATTAAAACATATTTAATCAATTAACAACACCACAACACGATAAGTACCTCATATACATATCCATACACTAAAATACTCCAAACAAATTCAAATATATCAAGTATATTTAGTTAAAGATAAAGTCTAAATAAAAAACTAATAAACTATAACATCCAATCTAAAAATCCGCTCGTCCCTTGTTGTCCCTCTTCGTACTCTAACTCAAATCGTCGGCGTCCTCCTTCGACTTGAGCTTATATGTGCTCGCTCTCCGATTGTGTGTGGGGCTATAATGGACCACTTGCATTGTTGTGCAAGCAAGATCCAGCTCATCTTCATCGGTATACATATACCCTATCCTCACACGCCATCTATTCGCGACCATCATGCCGATCTTCGTGAGTTCAATGAAGAGCTCTACGAACCATCCACACTATTCGCTGTAATACCAATACGTGTACTGAATGTCCTCTGGCGGTAGCTATGCCCTCATTTGCACTCCTTTGCACTTGCCATATAAATGCGTATCATCGATGCTCAAGAGCGGATAACAAAATGAGAAACCTTTGATAGTGGGTTCCAATGCCCATAATTCTTGCATGAACCTCTCTACTCCTGGTGCGATCTCTTTACACAATTTTTCCTATTCGGTACCCAAAATTTTCCTCTTAATTGCTTCAAGATATCGCGGAAGTAATTCATAAGATTTCCAATCTCCAAAGATTTTAGTCAAAGCCTTTCTTGCATCATATAATTTATATTTGGATATAGTTATTTTTCTCATATCGTATACTCTTGTAATTATTTGACTTAGAGTGAGATCAAGTTCTCACCTTACTTCCGGCATAATTAGCTTCAAGATATAAGAGGAAGTTGCTAATTTATGATCGAGAGGGATAGAAATCGGAGAGATAGAAAGAGGTGATTGTGCCCTAATTTTTGGGGGAGAACTAAGACTTTTATAGGCCCGGCAAATACACAAGACTAGTACAATGTATTTTCGGGCAGTCCCCAGGAAGCATCTGTTTAACCTACGAGACTCCTAGTCATGTGAGTTTTGTAATAGTGACCAGAAAACCCACGGAACTAGTAGTCTCATGGGTTTTCTGATTCTTGTTTAGTGGCTGATTAGTGGCTACTAAACGCACGGGACTCCTAGTCTCGTGCGATTCGAAATTCAGATTCAGCAAAATCGACCTCTTTTTGGCTAGCTTTGCTGAGCTGGGCAAAAAGAGATCGATTTTGCTAAATTTTTAGTCAAACGATTGTTTTTAATAAATATTTAGTAAAACTGTCCTATTTCAAAAAAATTCTCCATTGAATATCAAGAAAGACCAAAAAGATACAGGTAAAATCTCCAAGAAAAAAAGCATAAGAGGCTAAGAGCCTAACAAAATATAATACTGATAGAAATTTTGGTGATACATGTTCATTATGCAGCTGTTGTTATGATGGAATATAAGCAAGATGCGAGTTGTTTTCCCTTTCAACACAAACATACATGTTACATGACATCACATATAGGAGCTGTTTGGTTGCTTTCCATCACATTCTAAATTTTTTTTTCCTTCACTTTTTGGTGTTTCCCTCAATTTCATGAAAAAATATTTCTTATGTTTTTTCATCAAAAAAATGAAGCCTAATTACTTTCCATCACTTTCATTAATTTGGTTCAATTTGAAAAGAGAAGAAAGTAGTTGATGTGAGAATAAATTCCCTCATTTCTAGTATTTGGTTCAAACTAAAAAAAAAAAACCATATAAGATTTAGTATATTTCCTGCTAAAATATATACAAATCCTATTGAAATGTCACAATAATACATCAAAATCAACAAATCATTAGTAGCAATTTCTCCACAAAAAGACTGTTTTTTTTACTTCACATCACATCCAACTAAGCAAAATTCAGGTCAACAACAGTACCATAGCATCAGAATTTGATGCTATATTTTGTTTTGGCCCAATATTTCCTTTCTTGTTTTGCGGCGCAAACATCAGAATTTGATGGGAAAATCCGATTTTTTAGGGTTTTCCAGCAATGTCGGCTTTCCAACATGACTTTTCTTCTTTTTTACCAACCAAACAGTGGATCCTCTGTATTTCCCCCCTCCACGTAGATTGTTTGCAGCCAAATAATAATAATAATAAAAAGAATAAGAATAATAAAAAAAAGAAAATAAAAAGAGTATACGGGTCGGATCTCACTTACGGGCGGAACCCATTCAACCCGGGCCATCCCAATCCCTATCTCCCTCCGCTTCCCCATCTCCCTCATTTGTGCGCCAAAAACAGTCGG